CTTCAGGTTCAACTGGCTCATGTAATCCGACGATTTTATCCAAATACTCTTCTTGTATTATCACAGTTTGGTCAACTTTGAAAGAAGCTAAATCGTCTTTCTCATGAAGATAATAATCTTTTTTTTGCTCCTTAATATTACATGTCATTGTGACAAGTAAATTATTAATACAATGTCAGGTGTTGAAGCAGAAAACATTTGAAAACATACTTTCATATGCATGCTATGAAAAAAACTTAGTCCCATCAATTTATTATATTACATAATTTATAGATAGATAGTTAGTTTATCAATCTTCACAGATCATTTACATGACATGCCACAAGTCCAATGGTAGTTAATGAAGTGAAGATTGATTTAACATGCACAGATAATATACAATGTGTTCTATGAGTCAAGGAAAAACTATAAAAATATTATGGAACTTATAATTTTAAATAACTTTTTGATTGATTCGACCGTTACTTAATGAAGATCCATAGTAATTTCAAAAACTACACCTCACGATTAAATCACTTGACAAAGCTACTGTGCTAGTGAAACCTGTTGTGATATATTTTTCAAATAAAGTTTGTGGAGATCGTGAGGTGTAGTTTTTGGAAAAGATTTCAAATAAGTATAAGAGGTGTATAAAAGTTAAACAGCTCTTTGGATACAGTCCTAGTATTCAACTCATTGGGTTCATATATTCAATAAAAGGAGTGAAGAAGCAAAACATTATTTGAGACCATTTTGAGGTTTTTTGAATTCCTCACTAATTTTATAGAATCAGCAAGCATGTTTCAATGAATTTATTCAACACGTTCAGCCTGGGTGGCATCAATGTGATGTCTCACTAAACCGTACTCTTGGGACAGTGAGGCATCACTAAGGCCACACTACAGTTTTGTATTATAGAAACGCAGAAGAGAGGAAGATGAACGCAGACGAGAAGATGAACGAAGGAGAGAGAAAGAACGATTACGCTGAAATGAAGACCGCGAGTTACTACTAAATATTCTGGAAAAACAAGAAAGAAACCAGAGAGGAATATCGTTAATTATTGGTGAATATTCAGGATAAACAAGAAATAAAAAATAAGATGTACCTTTAATTCATTTGAAGATTTGAAATCTTCCCAAGTGAGTAAAGGGGAGGTACAGGAATTGATTCAGGAAGAATTTGAAAAAGTATTTCAGGAAACAAAAGAGGGATTGGAACAAATAGTCGATGAAAAGTTTGATGGGGTTGAAAGGAAACTTGAAGAGGAGCTTGAAGGAGTCGGAAGGTAACTTGAAAAAAGCTTGAAGGGGCCGAAAATAAATTTGAAGAGGTTTTCCAGAAACTTCAGAAAGAAAAAAGTCACGGAAATGCAGATAACCTCTCAAGAAGACCATCTCTGACATCCGGATGCAAATTTTGCCAACTCCAAGAGGACCCAGCTACCAGAAGAAGAACTTCCCACCAGACGTGATAAGGTAGCAGGCAGAGACCCCTTTATGGACAGCTCTGACAGGGAGATGAACTCCCCTACTTCCGGCCGCTTCGGGTTCCCTCTGACCCGGAGGGTAGCAATCTGTAAGGGTCCCTTGTCCAGGGATACGGACAGACCTGACTGTGGTGTGGTACGGTCACAAACAGCCTCTGAGGTTGACATTACCTTTCTGATAATGCATGACATCATTGTAGCGCAGAAGAAGGTTCTCATCTTGAAAACTACGAGAATAGATTGCCAAAGGAGCGAGACCGAAATGCCAAGAGATTTACAAGCACGGCCAGCAGGAAAAGGGTTACTGACTCCAAGAGCATTCGAGATGACATACTCACTCGGAGGTAGGAAAGCCCGGATGGAAGAACCCACAGATTCCAGACCATCCTTTCTAAGACATGTATTCCGAGTATGCTTGATCAGCTCAATGATGGTCGCACTGGAGGGCATTTTGGAGTTAAGAGAACTCTGGCGAGACTTCGTGAAAGGTACTATTGGGTCAATTGCCGTCGAGACGTGGAAGAGTGGTGTATGTGCTATGACCTGTGCTCTTCGAAAAAGGGTACAAAGACAAGGCAAAGAGGAAAGTTGAAGTAGTACCTCAGTGGGAGCCCTTTCGAGAGAATCGCAGTCGACATTTTGGGACCACTCCCTATGACCACATCCGGTAACAAGTACCGTATGGTTGTGATGGACTATTTTTCCAAATGGCCAACAGTAGTAGCCTTACCCAACCAAGAAGCTAAAACGATAGCAGAAGCCCTGTTGCAGAACGTAATTGCCAGACACGGAGTACCCCACGAACTGCACTCGGATCAGGGCCGCAACTTCGAATCGGATTTATGGAACGAAATGATGACTCTATTGGGAAAAAAGAAGACAAGAACAACTGCTCTTCACTCACAATCCGATGAAATAGTCGAGAGGCATAATCGCACCATCAATAACTACCTCTCGATGTTTGTCTGTGAAAACCAAAGAGACTGGGATAAATTGGTTCCTTTTTTTCTGTTGGCATACAGGAGCTCCCAACATGACGTGACAGGTTATACACCAGCCATGTTGTTAACTTGTAGGGAACTGAAGCTTCCGATAGATGTATTGTATGGAAGTCTTTTAGATGGATCTCAAGAGATACCACATTCAAATAATAGTTGGAGTATTTGTGAATTTAAAGTGACATAACGTTAAGTTTGATTATTCGGTGTAGTCAATTATTGGTCAACCCACGGGGACAAACGTAACAATATAAACAAGAACAGTATGGGATCTTGAATGCACAGTGCCTTCAATTTCACCTTCATATGATAAGATAATTTGTCACGAGATCCAAAACAAGTACATTTCCTTATCACCAGAAATGCAATACTGTTCTCTTGTCTTCGTTATTTCAAAGAAAATTTGTTTTCATAAAATAGGTGAATCTTGAGATAAGATACTTTTATGATATAAATTGTGTATTTGAACTTGTATTTAATTAATCCTTTATCTATGGTTATATTGTTTTTCTAATGCATATTATTGATTTATTTCATTTCTGGTCACTATAATTTATTTTCTTCACAATTATCATCATTATTATTTTTGATATTATTTTTAACTTTCATAACTAAGTCATCCTAATATTTCGGTCCTATTATTCTTTATAATTCATTCATTCATTCATCTTTCCTTAGTTTTTGAATATTATGTTAATTATTCTAGACAATGAAAGTATAGATCTCTAAAAAACATTGTCAAGCATATTGAAACAAGGAAAAGATCAAAATTATATAAAACAAAAGAAAGGAATTCTACATACAGTGTAATTTTAATATAATAATTCTCAATATAACAATTTCTTCGATTTAATGAATTTTTCAAAATCCCTTAGAATTGCCCCTAAGAGTTAATGCGAAATATACCTTTACATTATGAATACATCTCAAAAATAGTTTTGTAACGAATTTAATCATTGCAAAATATAAATAGAAAGTATCATTAACCTGTATTTAACGAATGTTGTCAACTTATAACCTCAACATAACGAATTCTATCAGTTATCAAATTCAATTCCATCATTGAATTCATGTCTCAATAGGTTCAAACTTCAATTTTTTGTAAGACAATCATCATTGTTTGACGTTCAGTAATGTGAACACTGCTGTTTTAAAGTTAATCAGCAATGGTCGATAAATGAAAAAGAGGTTCCTTAACGGTCGCAGAAAAATGAAAAATCATTGAGAATGTTAACGAGAATCACATGATGAAAAAAATTGACATTGTCAAAAAGTTCGAAATTCCCACTAGTACAAAATGACGAACAAGACAAACCATTACCACATTGTTGATTTTTTTATGTTTATGCAGATATTATTTTAATTACATATCATGTAACAGAAAACTGTAAAACAGTTTTTAAATAAAAATACAGTATTTTCATTGAAATGTATTTTCATTTACATATTAGTGAAAATCATTCGCTGTAACAAGAAAACCACATTAATACTTATATGAAGTTGAGATTAATAATGAATCTCATTGTAATAAATTACTTGATATTATAAATTATTTTTTAAGTTCCTTCAGTTTCGTTATAACAAGGTTGCACTGTATCAATAAATATTCTATGAAATAATTCAATTATAATTAATTCATACCAAACAGCAAAAGATCAAGCAAAACACAATTTAGAATGAGCATACAATTTCTATATTTTTGTTAATTATAGAGATCCCAAGAGAAGATATCTTCCAAAACTATTAATTGAAATGATTTCAAAATTCAAATTCAGTGTTTATATGAAAGTAGTTGTTTCAAGAGGGATTTTTCTTCAAGTTTTGTGTCTGAAAGATACTTCTTTGCATGATCTATACATCTATGTAAAAAGTTTATTTTGAAATTAATTGTCTTTTTTCCTTTGGAAGATTTCCACATTTTTTGTATAAAGATGGAGAAGTAGAAAGCAAAAACCTTTCTTTCCCAAAAAATTATTCTCTCCTAAAAATATTACCCTTTAAATTTAAACAAGATTCCTATGTTTGGGATTTATTCAAATAAGCGAATGAATATCATTACGTACTGTCATTGATGACACGAGTAGATCAAACTCATTCGTGACATGCAGTCATAATATTATGAATGAACCGAATGCTTTTTCTTAAAATGTTATCCAGATAAAAACAGTTGAATGAAAATTTCATTATTGACTAGTTTTAAATTTTTTTCCTAAAAAATTCGAAAATATGAAAGTTAAAACAAAAACTAATATTCAATTACACTGAAATGTAGACTGAGACTTCTGACGAGTGTTCTATCTATCATAAGTTATATTCAAATGTCATCCTAAAAAATACGTTTAATGCTTGGATATCCAGAAATAAAATGACATTTTTTTATTTGCCAGATAATAATTTGAGAAATGAACGATTTCTTTCCAATTTAATTACTTAGCATTCTTTACTAATCTAAGCCAATTTCATTGAGACCCTAAACTACAGTATCTACATTCTCCACAGCAAATTCGAATACAGGGCTAAAAACATAACTCACAAAAATACTTACTCATATTTAATGAGTTTTCTGTACACCGGAAAATATTCAATCTCAGCTATCACAAAAATAATAAATAATTACTAATTCTCACTATTCATTACCACATAATTACGAGTACAACTAACATTCTCTGAAGTTGTTCTTGTTCCCCCTGGAGGAACAGAAGAGTCACTTTCGTATTCTGAAATAATGTCTTTATTCACTTGAACGAGTTCATTTTCAGATGTGAGTGAAACGCTTTCCCCTTTCAAGAGTTTAGTTTTCAGATTTGTTATGGTCCCGTCTGCTGGAATTGTGAGGTTGTTTTCAAGTGGAATTTCCACCTCATCATCTGTAACATTCTCTGATATGGTCACAATATTCTGCGCAGACATTCCTTTTTTTAACTGGATTGCTTCGGTTACTTTATCCGAAGATATATTCAACGGTGTGGCAGTGTGATCAGGGGTGACCATAAAAATCTTATAAATAGGCTCTCCGTTTGGTCCCATTTCGTTAATGATCATTATCGAGCCAGGTTCTACGTCAGTGGGTTTTATGTTATCAGGTACTTTGTTTTTCAGCATGAGGTTTTCAATGGTGCAGAGTTCGTTTTCGTACTTTTTGGTAACTTTAGGCATTCTTCCGGATCTAGTTGGTCCCTGGGGTATCACAATTTCTTCATCTGATTCACTTCTAGGACCAATATCTGATTCGTCTGCATCATTTTCATTAACATAAGCATCAATATCCAATTCAACTTTCTTGGATTTTTTTTTCTTCTTCTGTTTGGTTTTGGGAAGTTTGATAATCCTTAGGTTTTCAGTTGGTACAGCTGTGAAATTAATATCAATCAATCAACTTATCAATATCGTTTGAGTGAAAAAAAATAGATTTTAATAATTTCATAGTGGCAATCAATGCATAAATTAGCAAACAAATTGGCAACAAAAGTGATAGAGAATATTACTGGAGTTTTTTCCCAACACCAAACCATTAACACCTTGACACGATTTTCGATCACCAGGTGATCATTTCCAAGAGAAATATTAAACTAATATTCTTACAATGTTCTCCTTATTTATACCATAGATACTTCTTCTAGGTACCTGCTTCTTGAGTGTCTTAAATTAATTTCACAATATTGCCTTATCTACTAGTCTTAAATTGATTTTACAATGTGTCCTTATGTGATAGTCAGGTAATACTATTCATAATAGTATTATGTTTACTTATTTCTACACTGACCCGCTCGTCCTTCTGATGAGCTTCAGTCCTAAGGGTAAGGGACATGCGCTCCAACCGGCTTGAAACGAAGATGACTTTCCAAGTTATTTATACACTCTCATAGACGCCTGTTGTTGTTAACTTGTCTAACTAATCCTAATGAACTGAAGTCTATGGAATGGTTTTGTTGCAAAATATGATGGGCGACTGCTGATTTTTCTGGTCTTCCACATTTTAGGTGTGCTAAGTTTTCTTATATCTTATTTTAATAGATCTTTTTGTCTGTCCATTTAATTTCGTAAATTCCAGACTTTACCGAATTCTCGACTTTGTCTTATGGATTTCCTAAAAGGCTTTGTTATGTATGACTTGTTTTAAAATCCAACTTCATACCTAGTTCCTTGAAAATCGAGATTTCGTTCATTCTTAACCTAAACTTTTTCTTCCTTATTATATCATCTACAATACCCCTCGAGAAACCGTTAACGGCTGCTATTTCCTGTATTGTACGTTTTTCTTTTGTGAACCTATCATGTGTGAGGGGAAAAGTCAAAAGACGAGGCACTAGAAAATTCAGTCTAGCACGTTTGTGCTGTCCACAGTGATGTGAACTGCCAGGAATATACCTGTACATGGTTGTTTCATCTCGACCTTTAAAAACAACAAACACCAAGATAAATATATCTCAGTTTCATACCACCAATACACGAAGAACTTTGGAAATATTTTCAAGGTCATACACTACAGAGCCTTTTAGGAAATCCAAAAGATAAAGTTAAGAATTCGGAAAAGTCTGGAATTTACGAAATTAAATGTTAGGACTGTGATGCAAAATATTACAGACCGACAAAAAGACCTATTAAAATAAGATATAGGGAACACTTAGCACACCTAAAATATGGAAGACCAGAAAAATCAGCAGTCGCTCGTCATATTTTGCAACAAACCCATTCCATTGACCTTGGTACATTAAGAAGAGTTAGACAAGTTAACAACAACAGGCATCCAGATGCATATGAGAGTGTAGGAATAAATAAACATAATAATAATATGAATAAAGATGGTGGACCAATACATAATAGTATACTATATAGCTTGTTAAAATAATATTTTAATTACTAGATTTACCTGACTATTACATAAGGACACATTGTAAAATTAATTTAAGACTAGTAGATAAGGGAACATTGTGAAATTAATTTAAGATACTCAAGACGCAGGTACCTAGAACAGGTATCTATGGTATACATAAGGATGACATTGTAGGTATATTTAGTTTAATCTTTCTCTTGAAGATGATCACTCGGTGATCGAAACACGCGTTGAGGTGTTAAAATAACGGTTTGGTGTTGGGAAAATATCCAGTAATATTCATTACTAGTACAATACAAGTACAAAAGTGATAGAGGATAATTTTGTATCCAATATATNATATAATTCAATATCCAGCGTGGGATTAGCCGGGGAAGTAGTTGTTTTCCGCAAGCATTTACCAGAACCTACTGTATTGGTATGTTGAAATATTTATTTTTTTATATATATGTATCTCTCATCAACACAGTCTTCAGACATGTTTTGATCTCAGTAGGATATGCTTTGACTGCGAGAAAGAAGGTAGCATTTTGAAGTCTCAGGAAATGTCAAATTTGTAGACAGGACATTAGTTTCTTCACATTTTATTACATGGTCTTTTTCTGCATCGAAGAATTTGGCGCAGCTTGGCTACTTATCATATGATTTTTTTTCGTTTTATTGTTCACAGAATTTGGCAAAAGCATGATTTGTTGATTTCATTTTGATGTGAATGAATTTGTGTATCATATGATAAGATTTTTTGTAACACTGCCTGACTTGTTATAAATTTACAGTGTATTCGAAATGATCAATAAATTACACTCCTCTACTGACAATAGAGATATGAAACAAGCAATTCATAGTTTTCGTACAGTTCAATATGAAAACACTTTCCCCACATCAGATCAAAATACTGTCTTTCAGCGCGTATTTTGCTAACCAAGTTAACATCCTCAGGAGATGACCAGAACTAAATTTTACGGCTACCTCAATGTTCTTCAATGTGTTTTTCATAAACTACACCTTACGATTAATGAAATTACTATATACAGGGCTATTCAAATTCGTTTCTGTACATGGGGATCTCGTAAATGATAAGAGATAAAGTGTCGGTTAAATTGTGGCAAAGTTGCGTATTTTAGAGACCTATTTAATGATGTGAAGAAATCGAATATAGCTCTTTTGGTTCTGAAGATATACAGGAAAAACCAAAAAACCCCAAATTATTTTTTTGCCTATATCTTCTTTATTCGCAGACATATTGAAAATCTGTCCACATTTTGCAGCTTGGTCAATTCCATAGTAGTGCAAGTGGCACTAAAGATTCTGCTAATCAGTTCAAGCTAAGACCTCATATTCTGTACATGCCAATAGCAAATGTATAATGGTCTCAGCCGACGTATGGCAAGCCCTGAGCAAGGTGTGAAGAACCTCTAAACCCATTATGTAACTATGGTAGATCAAGAAGTTATGATATCATCCTGGCAGGCTATGAAGAATCCCTCGGTCTTCAGGTGTTCAATTAATTTATTCATACATTATACCGAATAACAGATGCGTGTTACAGTGTTACCCCGGTAACATTTAATAATAATAATTTCGGAATGAATTCCAAAACCGACTTTTTTTCTATCAAGAAGTGAACGGTTAAAATAGTTGAATTTGTTACTTAAAATTTTGTTGCAATTGAAAATAACATATTTGAAGCCAATTTCAAATGCTTGTCAGTTTGAAATGGATTGGCCGATTTTCACAAACACAGCGGTGTTGCATAGAGACTCGGAAGGTCTTCAAAATCAGGAGCCACGCGACCCCCTTTACATAAAAAAAAAGTTGATGTTGCCCTCTTGACACTAGGCCACGTGACCACAATCAATTTTATGGCAAAAAGTAGTACCATTTTACCTGAATTTTACACGACCTCAATAGCTTGTTCCGTTCAAAAGTTAAGGAGGGAAGGATTTTTCACGTTCGTTATATCCGATTGTTATGATTACATTTTTAATTGCTGACCTGCTATATATTGTTTCTCTGTGTGTTTTTGTATTATTATTTGAAATTAAGATATTTTCAATTTTTGTAATTGTATTTAGTGAATTGTATTTAGTGAATGAAATTTGTGTTGACATAAAGCTAAGATATAAGTAAAATACTGCTAATACTAACCTTTTCTCTTCTTAGCTTTTTCTGCCAATTCTTCCTGTTTTAGCTTAGACTCTTCCGCTCTTCGTTTTTTTGCATCCTCTCTTAGTTTTTTCATCTCTTCCAATTGCCTTTCTTCCGTTGCTGCTTCATTCTTCAATTCATCAAACTCAAAACTGCATGGTTGCATCACAGCCCTGTTAAGCAACATCTTATTTGTTCGTTCCTCTTTTTTAAATTTCATTTTGAGTTCCCGTCTACTTCTGTTTGGAAAAAGTTCACACATCAAAGTAAAATCAGTACCAATGATGTTGAGGGCCTTATAAAACCGAACTGTTTCTTCATGGGTCCAATTTTTTGACCTTTTATGTTTTTTATAAATACCATAGCCATAGTCTAAGTCTCCATCAAGAATTTTAGTTTTCTGCATTTCCTCCTTTTGTCGCTTTACTTCCTTATTCTCAATTACCAGGCTCTTTTCATCCAAAACAATTTCTCCTGACGGTCCAATTTTAATTTGGGGTACTGGTATTGCATCTTCATCGTCACTTTTTTCCGAGTCTTTCTGTACTCTAGTGTCCTCAACTATCACATCCTCGTCAGTAGGATCATTTGGGGTTTTGTCCTCTATTTTTGTATTTTCCTCTTCTGATTTCTTCTCGTTTCTAAAAACCATTAATAATTGCTGAACAGTTTGGAAAATATTATGGTAACTATAAATGTTGAGAATTTATACATTTGAATAAACCACCAATTCATTGATGATTTAATGGAAGATAGGGGTAATACAATAAACATATTTTTAATGATTATAGAGATCAAAATTTGGGTTAGTAGGCCGTGGTTGAATAGAAATTGTATCATCAAATGTTTCGTCTGCTACTGTGGAAGCAGACATCTTCAGTAGAATAAGAAAATAAATATTTCGTGACAAAATTTCGAAATAATTCATCTCTCCCAATTACCTACATAGTAGGTTATGTGAGATATAATTCAATATCCAGCGTGGGATTAGCCGGGGAAGTAGTTGTTTTCCGCAAGCATTTACCAGAACCTACTGTATTGGTATGTTGAAATATTTATTTTTTTATATATATGTATCTCTCATCAACACAGTCTTCAGACATGTTTTGATCTCAGTAGGATATGCTTTGACTGCGAGAAAGAAGGTAGCATTTTGAAGTCTCAGGAAATGTCAAATTTGTAGACAGGACATTAGTTTCTTCACATTTTATTACATGGTCTGTTTCTGCAGCAGCTTGGCTACTTATCATATGTTTTTTTTCGTTTTATTGTTCACAGAATTTGGCAAAAGCATGATTTGTTGATTTCATTTTGATGTGAATGAATTTGTGTATCATATGATAAGATTTTTTGTAACACTGCCTGACTTGTTATAAATTTACAGTGTATTCGAAATGATCAATAAATTACACTCCTCTACTGACAATAGAGATATGAAACAAGCAATTCATAGTTTTCGTACAGTTCAATATGAAAACACTTTCCCCACATCAGATCAAAATACTGTCTTTCAGCGCGTATTTTGCTAACCAAGTTAACATCCTCAGGAGATGACCAGAACTAAATTTTACGGCTACCTCAATGTTCTTCAATGTGTTTTTCATAAACTACACCTTACGATTAATGAAATTACTATATACAGGGCTATTCAAATTCGTTTCTGTACATGGGGATCTCGTAAATGATAAGAGATAAAGTGTCGGTTAAATTGTGGCAAAGTTGCGTATTTTAGAGACCTATTTAATGATGTGAAGAAATCGAATATAGCTCTTTTGGTTCTGAAGATATACAGGAAAAACCAAAAAACCCCAAATTATTTTTTTGCCTATATCTTCTTTATTCGCAGACATATTGAAAANAAGTACTATGTTATTTATTAGGAAAATAAACATATGAAAATTGAACGAAACAACTATTACAACAACTGTTCAAAGTGATGACCCTCAACAGTAATACAAGCTTCTGCTCCCCTCATCAAAGAATTCTGCACCCGTTGAAAAATACCCGGAGTGTTTCTTATCGTTTCGCAGCAAGCTATTATGCGATCCCTCAACATTTCCTCGTTTTCAATGGGGCTAGCATGAACTAGGAATTTTAGGTGTTCCAAAAAATGTAGGTAAGTATCTCCATTCAAACGTAAGGGGAGAAAATAGGGCCCAATTAAATAATCCCCAATTATGCCTACCCATACATCAAAAGAGAATCTGTCTTGGAAATGAGTTTGCGTTATGGCATGTGGGTTATCTTCCGCCCAGATGTGGTTGTTATGGAAGTTCATGGAAATTTGCGGATGCTGTTCGACTTTTCTTTGAAGCCATTGAGCAAATTCGATACGTGGTTGGAAATCACGTAGCATAGGTGCCTGGACACGCTGAATATGATAAGGATATAATTGCTGTTCCTTTAAAATTCTGTAAACTGTCATGTGACTCACATTTGAAGTTTGACTAATTTTTCTTGTACTTGTCTCTGGATGTTNTACTTGTTCCCTAGCTTTTGCTTCTAATGGGAAGCTTCTTCAGGGCAGTAAAAACAAAAAATCTTATACATGTTCAACCTTCTCCGTCAGTTTATATGTTCAATTTATTGTATAGCTCAGTGTAAGGATGAATAACACTTGGTTGCCTCGGGTGAGAGGCTTCACCAACGTATCCGCGGATGCAGTTTCAGCCACCTGTGTATACACTTGAGAAAGCTACTGTGCTAGCGAAACATGTTGTGATTATATTTTTCAAATAAAGGTTGTGGAGATCAAAACGTGAGGTGTAGTTTTTGAAAAGACTTATAATCAATTGCATCTTCAATATGCAATATAATTATACTGTATACTTTCGTGAACTCGAAGCTGGCAGCCAGAGGTTGCGGCCAGAAATACTTTAACGGCAAATGCGGCAAAATGAAATATTACGGCCTTACCAAATGAGGAAGTTCACTGAGAATATTGACTGTTACTATCTGTTCCAATGGCCGTTTCACCATTTACAAAGTATTTCCACACTCTAGCTATGACCGCCAGCTCCAGGTTCATTATACTTACACTGTTAATCTTTCTGCTAGGTCAGTAATATATTTTTCAACTCATTGAAATGGATTCGATAAATTTTACTTATTAACTGGATTGAAAAAAATTAAAATACCACACATACCATGATACTACATAATAATTAGTATGATGCTGCCAGCCACTGATGACATTTCTCACTACAATATAATATTAAACGAAAACCAAATGATCTTGTACATAGTTAGTTTACTCACACAATGCGATTGGATACTGGATTGTAAAATATGAGATCCATCATTCTGAGCTTTTTTCTGTCTGGTACATTCGTTCCAAAACGTCGTTGGAATTCTCTCCGTGCCTCTGCCAGCTTTCTAGTTTGTTCAGACCTGTTACATTTCTTTGAAACTGTACTCGCTGTTACTTCCTTCTGTCTTTGAGGAGACATGCATTCTCCTACAGAATCAGCGACTACTGAAGTGGAAGAACAAACCTATGAGGAATTAAAGAATTGAAATATTAATATTATTTCAATATGGATACACTCATTAATTTGCTTCGGGTGGTGATACTTTAATATCATTTGCAGTCCCACAATATAGAAAACGGAATGAATACTTATAACAGCTGAACACCAAGATAGAGACTCTGCAAATTTTATTTCGAAAAAACAATCAAAACTACAAAAATCAGAAATATATTTTTGGAAACTGCTGCAATTAACATCAAATAATATCAGATCGCGAATTTGCATTTGCATCTGCTCTTTCACCAATGCCGAAAATGTATAAAAATAAAATATTATATTAGGGCTTGACGAGAAGGAAAGAAGGAAGGTAAAAGAAAGGAAAAGGTAATATATAGATATAGAGATATATGAATAGCTAAAATTTTTTTCAGGTTTCTCGCCACGAACCTAGTTATTCTGAATGTTGAACAGATGCTGTTCAAACATACTTTTAAAAACAGTTTCTGACATGTTAAAACAATAGTTTTTCCATTTATGGAGGGAGACAATTTATTGTGGAGAAGATAGGAAAAAGATCGTTTAAATATTTCCTCTTTATGTACAGGAATGTTTAACACTACATTTTTACGCAAATTCAGGTTATAGACATCTGTTCTATAAGACAATAGTTCACATAAGTGGGGAGGACTCCTATACTTGATGATTTTAAAGAATATGCATGTTGCATGAAAAGGTCTACGATTAAACATATTCAATCACTTCAAATCTGTTAATTTGTGTGAAAATGTAGACCTTCTGATACCAAATATTAACCTAATGCAAGAGTTTTGAACTTTTTGTATACGACACCTGTCGTTCTTGTCTAAACATGAATGATAAACAGCGCCAAGTTTAGTTCTTTACTTCTTCCCTGATGTTATTACTTTCAAAGATAATAGCTAGTGATTCGTTTGGATTTATTTTCAACACATGGTCAATGGACATTTAAAATCGTATTTAGATCAAAATTTATATCGGTTACTGCTTGACCTACATCTGAAGATTTGAAAGATAAATATATTCAAGAGTCATCTGCATCAAGGTGATATTTACAAGACTTCAACTTCTTGATAAATGTGGCAGTATAGAGGGTATACAAAAGCGGGCCTAAAATGCTGCCTTTGGGTACTCCTTTAGAAGAAATATCGTAAATCTGAATTTTTTGTAATCTATTATCTAGATAAGATGATATCAACATTACTGATGCATTACTAAACCCAAAAAAATGTAATATAGCACAGAGTATTTTATGATTGATGGTGTCAAATGTTTTTGAATAATCCAATAGAATTAAAATGGTGGCTTCATTTTTATCTATAGCACTAATTATGCCATCTATAATCTCTATAATGCTGTTGCACACACAACTATAACGTTTTTTAAAACTAGACTGTTTATTGTAACGATTAATGAAATGGCACATTTGATTTTCCATTACTTTTTCTACAATCTTGGAACATGTCGGAAGAATACTTATTGACCTTAAATCAATAAAATTTTGTGGTTATTTATTTTTTGGTTGGGGAATAACTTTTGCACATTTCCATACATAACAAAAATAACTTTGACTTAACCATTCGTTTATTATGTGAATTAGTACCTACCGTTATAATGAAAATACAACAAATTTTCATAATAGTCATATCGATTTCATCTACACCATATGCTTGTGATTTTATGCTATTTATGATGCTGAAGATATAATTTTCAGTAGTCGATGAAAAAATGAGTTAATCACATATACCTTCTTTGCTGTTCGTGTCATAAATGCGCAGTAAGTCTTCATCCGGTAAGACATCTGTTTGAGACCTAGTAGAAATGAAATCGCTTTCTACATTTTTCAAGTTTGCAGGGAGCTCTTTTTTTACTTTTGCAACTTTTAATTCCTTAAGTTCCTGCCATCTACCCTTACTATCAGTATTACGTAGTTTGTAGTTTAAATATGCCCTTTTCTCGTAGCGTATATCGATGTAAGTATAATTCCTCAATTGTTTATAGTAATCCCAATGATGTGCTAGTTTTGACTTTTTGAATCTAGTTAATGCATTGTCTCTCAATTTCTGCATCAATCTTATGTTCTCAGTTATCCAAGGAGTGTAATTTTGTTTTTCAAAGAGTTTTTTCTTGGTGAATGACATCAAGAGTTTTTGTAATGAAATAATTCATGAGATTTACTTTAACATCTATATCTACAGTTTCATATCAGTTTATCAGCACTGAATCTGTCAATATCGATATGTCTAATGTTTCTTTAAGTTATTTTTTGTTTTTTTCCATTGGGTAAGTTTCAAAGGAAAATTCTGAAAGTAAACTCCATTATAATAATAGAATCTACAGATTTGTCATGCTTTGCAGTTGTACAATCGTGTTCCTGAACTCTATTTTATAAATGGCTGTATATACAGACACTGTTCTTTCTGTGTTTTTTTTTTAATTTTGAAATGAACCCTCAACTGACAAATCATCAAACACAGAAATGTATTAGCTAACCAAGATTATGCCAACTTAGACATCTCTTGATGATGATCATCATTTGGTTAGCTAAACGTGCATTGAGAGACAGTATTTTGGATCTGGTATGGAAAGTGTGTTTTCAATAAATTCATTTTATGTCAGAGGTTCCAATTCTACCTATCAAGAATACAGAAATGTTAAAACAACTAACCAAGTATACACATTTTTTATATTCATACAAACTGAAAGAAGTTCACAATTCAATAAAAAGTGAAAGTAAAATCATTTTTATAGGCAAGAAGCTCACAGTAGCATCACTCAACCAACAGTGATAATTTTGGTTTCATAATGTTATGTTAACGTTGTTATGTTCTCTACCATTTTATATGATCTGATTAAAGTGAAGAAACGTTTTATTTCTCATTCATTTTTTCACAAAACGATATGATAAGTGGTTTCTAAAGGGTACTTGATTATCAAATAACTCAGGGTGAAAGAGTGGTGCGATTCAATTTTTTTATCATTCAACATCAACAAAACAAATGTGGTCACGTTTAGATGTAACATAGGAGAAGTACACTTGGAAAATGTAAAAATTGAAAATTTGGAGAAAAACAAATTTTTAGGGCTCTTCGTTGATGAAAATTTAAAATTTGATTCCCATGTCGACTACTTATGTAAAAGACTATCAGCAGGATGCCATGCAGTGCAAGAGAGTTACATATTACACTATCACAAGATCAGTTTATTTTGCACAAATTGAGTCCTATTTACGTTTTGGAATTTGTTTCTAGGGAAATTGTGAACAATTTCGTTTCAATATGGTATTCTCTCTACAAAAAAATCCTATAAAAGAGATTTGCACTATGTAGATGTCTCCTGTTAGCCATATTCAACTATACAATGTCTCGTAATTCATGTGATATCCTCTGACATCTACGAACTGCAAAAATTAGTCTTGAATATGACATTTGTTTTTGAATTTCGTTTTGATATTAGCTTGTTAAGCAAGGGCCATAGAGAATCACCATAATTGAACAATGACAGCACCAATGTCTCACAAAGAATAGCTTTCACATAAGTTGGATAGTTTTCAACTATAGTTCAATGTGCCATGAATCAGTAGTGGAACTGATCAATGTTTTTACCTACCACACCTAGAACCGATATGTTATTCAAATCTCCCTTATTTGCAATGTACTATAAATTAAAACAGTATATTTTGTTTGCAAATCATCACACTCACTTGAAATTTGTTATTTTTCCTTTTAAATATTTCATGAATATATTACTATTATGATATTATATATTTCCTGATATCAACACTTTCATCTCAAAATTGTATACTGTGTCCTGTAATTGGGTCTAGTGTCTGTTTGGACAATAACATTTTTATTTTTTTTTATAAGCCAATGCCGGCAGTTTATTGTTGATATTTGATATTCATGTTGGAACATGAGTCACAGTGTTTTTTTAGTCCGAATATTATTCTTCTTATTATTATATTATATATTGGCTTTATTGACATTTATCTTTAAACAGTGATCTGCAGTAGTTCTATCGAAAACATCAATGTCTGTATTGATGACAACGGAGGCAGTTTTCTTGTCTTCCAGAAGAAAGCTGTAATAGATTTGTGTGTCATTAGCATGAAGATGAGCAGAACATTTGTCAAGGCAATCTGTGTCACCTGAAATGTATATGGTGAACAATAACGGCTCTAGAATGGATCCCTGGGGTACACCATAAGCCGAAGATGCTCATTCTTGAATTGGCTATCATCTATACATACTTTTTATTTTCTCACTGTCAAGTAACTTTTTTGAAAAATGTCAGAGTTGCCTCAGAGAGCCCAATGAAGTGCAAGATGTTTAATAATAATCGTTGATGTATAGTATCGAATGCACAGCTGAAGTCCAGACGAGTTAATCCTTGATCAGTAGCTTGAATCAGCGACATGCAAGTAGGCGGTTGTGCAACTATAGCCCTTTCGAAGTCCAGATTGAACTGTAAGAAGCAATGAAAATCTTTCCAGATGACCTAGAAACTGCTCTTTGATAGCCCTCTCCAATACTTTGGACAATGTTAGTAAAATGCTTATTGCATTGCAAGTCCCTATATTCAGCAGGACTAGACTTCTTAGGTAGAACTTTAACAAGAGCTCTGCCCCCCATTTCCGGAAAACTCTTCTACAGTAATATTATACAATTTTAAAACCAGATGATTTAAAACTCACTTTCAAATTCATGTAGTCAACCCATAACACAAAATGTCAAATGAGATTTTTAAATGGAACAGAAACTTTACATCTCATCAAGTTTACTTCAAATTTATTTATTTGCATGTTTGACACCATTTACTCAGTCTATATAACAAACAATTTTTTTTCTGAGGGGCATTTTGAGAAGACCTAAAAAAGTAACATAACTGTTGAACTGCTAAATCAACTTACCGAATCATTTCTAATCCTGTGTTTCCTACTTTCATCTTCAGATTCACTGGCACTGTAACTTGCTTTACGTTTGCCAAATCTAGGTACGGCCTTAATTCTTGTTCGATTTATCTTACTAGGGCTTAGTGGAGGAGGATATTCTGTATCAGAATTTACTGTATTGCTCACAAGTTGGATAGGTTTGTCTGACGGTTTCTCTTTTCCTGATGCTGAAATGAATTTGATATTTGTTTTGGGTTTGTCATTTTACAATAAATGTAATAGTAATGAATTCAACATAATCATAGTTGATTTTATAGGTATGAAAACATACAGAAATTTCACCATACACGTTTTTGATCTGGCAACATAGTTTCATCAAAAATATTTTACTTCAGGTTGTCAAACTTAGGAACCATAACGACTGTGTCTGCCAAACATTTTTTCCACAACTAAGAACGATGATAATAGTCTTATAGAAGATAAATAAATTCGTTTTTTCACCATACATCAAAAAGGAAATTTTGGAGTGTAGAAGAACATGATACAGAATGAGGCAAGGTAGAATACATTGAGTAAAAACTGATATATGTGCCTAATCAGTTTATTCAACCTACTGACAAGCAACAAGAGCATCTTATTTTCACATACAAATTGATATAGGCACTTTTCTCTGAATAAGAGAACTTTAGTTATTGATGACATGTCCACACTCCCAGATTATGTTTCAAAAGCATTTGTTCTATAAATAAATGATTATCTTGTGATAGACTAGTTTCCTGGATTTCTGAAAATTGCTGTAGTTATTCCGCATTTCAAGGGTGCTGTCAAAGACAATACAATAAACAATAGACTCGTAAGAAAGAAAAAACAATGTTCAAAGAACAGTACATTCTTATTCAACGAAAGTCATTTTTTGTGGAGGAAAACATCAGGTTTTTTATCGACCTTTTTTTGGGTAATTGTTACCTTCCACAATCTGAAAAAATATAAAAATTATAATGGAGAACTTTATACAAGTGTAGAAGGGCAAACTTTTTAGTTTACCCCGATATTCTTATTGACAAAATTTTGCTTGATATTACAATAGTCAAAAGTACTTCAGATTAGAAGAAAGTCGTGATATATCTTTGAAATACTAACAATTACCAATATAACACAATTTAAAATATTCATAAAATACCATTTGCATTCTAGTCTAATATTTCCTCAAAGAATTTATTCAGCTAGTGACAAGCTTTATCAAATAAGTGTTTTACAGCTCTACTGAAAAGTAGGGCTGGCAGGTGGTGGAAATTTTTTTTTGGCATTGTTTTTTTAGGGTACTTAGGTATAGGTAATGGTAACAAATCGTTACTGTGTTGTGTTGTATTGCAATAAAGCCCCCTGATCTACACCGAATTTTTTATGGATCATACAGGCATTTTCAAAATATAAATGCATGTCAGAGTCAAGATCTTTTTTCTAATGAATAATGTTGTGCAAGAATATTGCCCCCATAAACCTATATCACAGCCTTCTTTTAGAAAATGAATACAGAGCTATTCTCCCGAGACAGATTCCATACATTAGTTGGGATTCTATTGATGCAAAATATATTATCCTAGATACAGACACATTAAATTCATTTGAAATTCACCGAGTCTTCAAGCGCTCTGATGCCAGTTTTTTGCATAAACTCAATATGTGGTTATTAAATGAGAGATTGTCATCAAATCAAGGCCCAAAGATTTAGATGTTGACTCTGACTCAATTTTTCAATTTTACTTGTTCCCTCCTTACCCAAAATAATTGAAAAAATCGTCACGAAAACAGTTAATATACTTTCTCTAAAATAATAAAATGTTTCAAAATGAAAAAAGTACAAACAACACTATTTCCAACTTTCTCTATAGGGATTAAATTATGGTGTCTCAGCAACAGGTGTATTCTGTGCATTTGGCGCAGTCCATCATGGAAAACTGCAATATTAGATTCAGAAACGTGCACATTATATAGTTTGAATCATACTTATTGTACAGAAGGGCAGATGAGACTTTCAACAGATAATATAGAAAAAATCAAAACAGGAGTGCCTCAAGGTTCCATTCATTTCATTGGCTTTGTTATGATGAATATATGTTCTTGGTATACACCATGATGTAGAGCAACTAAATGAGTTTCTATTGTATCTTATTGAGAAAAAAAAACTATTCATCATTTTTCTGTTGTTTAGTTTGAGCTACTGTTGTTGATTTGGAAAATGAAGTCTCCTTCCCTTTTTGGAATCTAACGAGAAATTTTATAAGGTTTCGCCCTGGAAGATCGACGGAGAGTGCCTCGGTGGCTTTTCTCGATTACGTCTATACTGCATTGGATCGCGGAAGGTTTATTGGGGTACTCTTCTTTGACCTTTCTAAGGCATTTGATTCTATCAATATTAATGTTGCTCTGGGCAAATTATCTGGACTGGGATTTCGGGGCATTTTTTTATCGTGGCTCGCATCTTATATTGAGTATCGGAAAATTTCGATGATTGTAGATCTCAACTTTTTGATGTTGATTTAGGGGTTCCTCAAGGATCAGTTTTAGGTCCCTTGATTTTTCTTCTGATTTTTCTTCTTACCAAATTATTTGAGCACTGAACACATTTTTTTGTATGCAGATGATACGACAATTGCCACTGATGCTGAAACCCCAGAAGAACTTGTGCAGAAAATGAATAATTTGTCAAAAGAATTTATTGATTGGTGTAGTGACAATTCCTCAATTGTCAATCCTGACAAAACAGTATGTCTACAGTTTTATTCTCGTACAAAAATCTCAAATGACTATTTTGTTCGCGTAAACAATAAAAATATATATTTTTTGGATTCAATAAAATTTCTGGGCATATATTCAGATGTAAATTTAAAGTGGTATACACATGTTGATCAGGTGTGTAAGAGGGTCAATAGTAGTTATTATGCAATTTTGCAACTGAAAAATATATTCACACTAGAGCAATTAATAAATGTGTACTATGCTCTCTCATATTCACATATTTTTTATAATATTGTCCTTTGGGGAATTACGGCCAATGCTCACAGAGTTTTCATCAGTCAAAAAAGATTAATTCGTCTAATCTTTGGCTTAGATTAGTCTGGTTCACATGTACTCGATTTAGCTCTTTTTGGTGACATTTTTCAGCCCTGTCCAAAAATTACGACTAAGGTGTCATTCGATTCGTATTTTTGCCTAGAAAGTTTAAGGTAAGGTCCGAAAACGCGTCGATAAAATTGTCAATTGTCAATAAAAAAATGGAAAATAACAATTTTTTTATTTTGGCAACGGTAATCTAATTTTTTGCCTATTAAGGATAACTTCACCAAAGGAAAAAAATGCCAGGGTTTTAGTTTAATAATTATAACATGCTACGAGGCATGGTGACTTATTTAGAAGTATAAAGCACCGTACATCACTTTACGAAAGCAGTTCTAAATATAATGGAATACGATTTTTCAATCATCTCCCAAGTGATATCAAAAACGAAACAAATATTAATACATTCAAAACAAGATTGAAAAAATATTTAGTGGAGTCCTGCTTTTATGACATTAGTGAATATTTTGCTAATTCATAGTTTTTTTCATTTGTCGTTTGCTTGTTTGTATGGACGATATGTTTAAAGTAATATAGTTATGTGTACCTATATATGTCTATGTATATACATCTTATGGCTTGTCCTATATCATGTGTATGATCTTAAAGGATGAATAAAGATGATGATTATTATTATTATGGGATCTTCGCGTTGTGATCGCATATTGATTATATATAACATTGTAAGGAATAACGTGTAGGAAGAAATGTAGAAAGTTTCACTTTTTGATGGAACAAACTTCAACAATTGGAAGTTCTGCATGGCAACGTTGCTGAATAAAATGTATCTGTTAGAGCAGCTACCTATCAACATGGTTAGGTTAGAAGTGAGTGGTTATATTCACTTCACTGTAACCTACATGGGTTTATTATGGCTCCAACTTAATAATACTCAGCCAAATTAGTCCAGCCTCTTGATGAAGCTGATTAACTTATTTGGTGAGTGATCTTTAGGTCAGATGGCAAGAGTGAAACTGTGCCAAACTATGAAAACCTGATCTGGTCCATAGTCGGACAGGCACAAAGTATGTATTCTCCTGTTTCAAAAATTCTCAAATACTGACGGTACCTGCATACTGTTTTCTGAGAGTCCAAGTCTCTACATATGATTCAAACGACAATAACCTGTAACTTCTTCGATTGACGACTTGTTTATTTTGTGGAAATTCATGTTCACTGAGGATACACTACAAAAACACACTTTTGTCTATTTTCCACTATATTTCTTTATTGTTGACCGGTTTCGGCTATTACACCATTTTCATAACTAACTGATTTCATTTAAATCTGAGTAATTTATACCTATGTTGCTTATTCTATCGTAAATGATTTGATATACCTGATACCCGGTACCTGCGTTTCATATACCTGTAAAATCCATGAACATAACAAAGCTTTCAATATAATGTAGGTTGTGGGATCTGGATTATAAGTTCAGGAGAGGACTATTATTTAAATCAAGTTGTTCGTTGAGGACAATAGAATTGGGATTTTTCTTTGACCTGTTTATTTCCATAGATTCCACAGATTCATCATTTTCCCTTTTTCGCATGTGTGTAGGATCTTTAAATTATCTTTATCTAATTTATGTTTCGAATTTTGAAGATGTTCGTACATTAATGATTTTTTATATTTCGAATTTTGAAAATGTTCGTACATTAATGATTTTTTATAAAAAATCGCACTTGACCATCTGTTTTATATTTCATCAAAGCTAGAAGAGGCATACTTGCTTTTGAAGTTATTGAATTACTCCAATCACTAAATATTGTATGAATATTAATGACTATTTGAAGTGAAAAGGGAATATTTTTAGGAGAAATTAGTTTTTGGAAAAAACATTTTGGTTTTCTTCTTCTCCGTTATCAAACAAAATAATGTGGAAAACTTACGAAGAAAGATAAAAACTTTCATAAATATATGTAGCGAATACACAATACACACTCTTTTAACTAATGGAATGACCCCCTTTTTTGTGGACCTCTTTTTTGTGACTATTTTCTTCTACATTCAATAATGCGGCCATTATAATGACGACTTCTTCGTCAGAACTGCTAGTGACAGACATGATTTTGTCACCACTCGATGTCAACTAAAAAGGATTTTACAGGTATATGAAACGCGGGTACCGGGTATCAGGTATATCAAATCATTTATGATAGATACAACATAGGTATAAATTACTCAGATTTAAATGTAATCAGTTAGTTTTGAAAATGGTGTAATAGCCGAAACCGGTCAACAATAAAGAAATATAGTGGAAAATAGACAAAAGTGTGTTTTTGTAGTGTATCCTCAATAACCTGTAAGTTGGGAGGTCCTTCTTGCTGTAGTCATGGTTTGGTGGCGTACTTAGAAAGATGTATAAATGCCTTGGAATGGAACAATCCTGGTAGAATTTGCCAGGAGTCTGAAACACTTCTTGCAATCCAGATGTTCAATGTTTGTTTGGCAAAGCCTTAAGTGATGCCAATGAAAGCTGGGCCATCGAAATGTTCGTTGAAGAAAAAAGTATACCAATAATTAGAAAGCTGAGAAAATAGCATTTGATATTTAAAAAGTTCTCATCAATTTGTTTGAAAGAAAATGAATTGTAAGTCAACTTTTATTTCAAAAAAATCTCCCAACAATGATATCCTGAGCATCGCAAGAAAGTCTGTTTTCTCATTTACTCAAGTTCGACATTATAAGTCAACACCTACGTTCAAGTGGTGCCACAGTTGAAAAAACAGACATTGTGCGCTATCTGAATATGAAATTGTGGTCACCACAAACAAAACATTACCTGCAGAATATATCACACTGAGTTTTGTCAAATTCATACTTGAACTTTACTGAAAACACGTTTCACTCCATGACGGTATAGTCGGATTGCTGTTGAACTCAGTTGAATTTGATCTACGATCTTCTTCAGTTTTTGCAGCCCCAATTAATCGTCTCTATAACAATTAAACTGGCACGAAAATCACTGCCATTTTAAATCTGCCGTTTTGTATTTAGCTGTCAAAATGGTAGTGGCATCGGATATTTCTCACCATTATTAAAAATATTATAATGTGATCATAGTTAGATTTTGGTTGGAAGGGTAAACTTCTCATTATCTGTGCTCAGCAATTTAAATATTTTCGAAGCGTCAAATCTAGAATATTGGAGTTGTCTTGCTCCCATTTCAAAAAAGTGTAATTTGTTAATCACTGAGTTGATTATTCTTTTACTACAGAACTCAGTTGAGCAATACAAGTACATTTAACCTTTCGATAATCACATAATGTGGACAACACAGGAGTTTCTTCTGCTTTTAATTAAGTTTTTTAATAAACTGGTTTCAAAACCTTGTGTTTTAAAACAACTATTTGAATACTGGGTTTTTGAGGAGACATGACTAGTCTAAAAACATATCTGAATATGTAAGTAACTAATCATGATGGATGTAAATTATAAATTAGGTATTTCTGAAAATTTGATTTTATTGTGACTGTGATTCAGTTCAACGACACAAGAAATGTGCATACTTTTGTCTGACTGAATTTGAGAGAGCTGACAGAACAAGAAGTGCCGATTAAGAGTGAAAACTTAGTTTGTGTAGTGGCAGTCAACATCATAGTCCAGGAAAAACAAGTTAGGTCATTGAATGTGATTATTACTATTATTCAAGAGTCAGTAGAGAAGTCAGTAGAAGTTTCAAGAAATGTTAGTCAAATAATAAACCTTTCTGACCCAATTATGATAAGAAATACTTTTCATTTAGGTAGATATGATAGAAAAAAAATCAACCTTTGAAATTTATCTCGAACAGTAGTGATAAAGCTCTTTATACATTTTGTAATAAAAATAAAATCGAAATTCAAAATATAAATATATTAGGGGATCAAACACAGAGTTTATTATTTATCATTGAAGAAAAAAACTAACTGAAACGATTGGCCAAGGTATTTTAGATAAAACAATGAAATACATTAACAATATACCTCTCCATTGCTAACAAGCCAGAAAGAAACAAACTGATTACAAGATAACCTACCATATTCAAGAAACACTTCATCGTGAGATTTTCACTAATATGTAAATAAAACCTACCTAATGAAGCTTGTACCACCGAAGATATGGGTGATTTTGAGATTTATATTGAAGACTGTAAGGTGGTAGGTCTAATACTCATACTGCAAATCATCATACAGGTGGAGTAGCCACTATAGTTGAAAAGACTTTTTGTTTCAAAAATCACTTTCAATATTTATCTGAAAAAATGTTTTTCTTCACAGGGACAAATATATGTTATTATCATTTCAGTCTAATATGACAGTTTAGCAATCTCAATTTAACCATACATTGACTACCGTGCCACAACTTTAGTCTCACTGCTTGATGGCAATTGCATTTTAGTGTTACAAAAATCACAGAACAGAGGAGTGTGTTTGCTACTAATACATAATATAACTCTTATCATGTCAATGATCCAAATTTTGAATTGGTCGACTGTAAAAAATAGAAAAGGTGTATTATTTTTCCATAATTTTCATTTATGAAATTCTCTCTGGAGAAACTCCATTGTATTTCAATAATTTCATTGTCTATCATAATCAGATTCAGAATTACCCTACATGAAAAAAAATTTTTGTTTAAATTGAAAGGGTATATCTTTGAGAGAGATTAATTTTTGGAAAAGTTTTGGCCTTCTACTTCTCCATCTTGATACAAAATATGTGGGAATCTTCCAAAGAAAGAAAGGAAGCAATATCTGTATATTAGGTTGTAAATTTCAATAAAGTATCATTATAAATTCTCATTTGCATATTTTGGAATAAAATAAACTTGAAAGCTTCATATATATATACGACTAGGTATTTAGGAACACCCTCTATAGACCTCGTTGATGTTATATAAGAATATTCACAGTGCCAAAGTGTCAATTTTCAAGTTATCACTACTAAAGATGAGGCCCAAAAATTGACTTCTTTCTCTATATATTTGGCTTTTGAAGATATTATTATTAATTCATACAAAACTACTGCTGGTAGTGGCTTCAAACACACCTGTTTTCAGTCTGTATTGAAATTGACAATATTCTAAAAAAACACAAGACAGTTATTGGAAATGTTAATATTTGTGTTTCTTATTTTTCATAGGTGGTGGGAGTATGAATCAATACTTTGAAATGTTAACAAGCAAGCAAAAATTTACCTTTTGCACCTTCCAAATGGGAAAAAGAATTACTTATCGGTAGTAAAACTGTCTCATCCAAAGTGTACACACTTTCCCCAGAAACAGTACTAAAAGACACTTTTTGTTTTCCATTCGTTTGAGATGATTCGTCAGTACTGACATTCTCGTCACACACTCTGTTTTCTTTAGGATACTCTCTTTGATTATCTTCTTGATGCTTATTACCATCTGAATCTTCACACTTGTATGAAACATTTATTGATTCTGGGATTTTGATTATGTTTCTTTGACTAGAGGCTTCATCGAAATTTTCTACCCTTTCAATGCTTAAGTTTGGTGCAGATTCAAGATTTTTATCACTACTACTTTCACTCTGACATTTTTCATCAGGGCTAATTATTTTATCTTGATCTCCCTTTTTTATTGGGTCCCGGGTAACATCTTGAGCTTCACTAGTTTCAAAAATTTCTGATTTGATATTTATATCATTCACATTTTTTCTTCGCTGATTACAAACATTAGCAACTATCCCCTTTATTCTATTCCTCCTCAAAGCCATCATTAATGAATAGAAAAATAATGGAAATAAGGAATTCAACACATTCTATTTCTTTGAGAATAAAAAGAATCCATTCTTAGAATAGAAAGAATTCACTTTCTATATAATAAGATGAAAAGTTTAAGACAACTAAATTACAGGTATATGGCAGGCAAAACCGTAACTTTATAGATGATGAGAAATGAAATCATCTAAAACTGCAACAGATTGAGTTTATGAGATCTTTGTGACTATCAAATTTCAATCCAGAACCAGAATCCAATTCATAACCTCAAATTATTTTATTTTTTCCAAATCTTCTTCTCGTCTTCCCGTTTTCAGGTCTTTGCTTCTTTTCTGGCGCAGTGGACCTGTCTTCTCCTGAAGCATAACGGTCATAATAAAGCACCAGCGGGGTTAGTAAAAGGTGTCTTTGGGTTCGCAGTTCGGACGATTCTAAAACGGTTGAAAATAGCTACACAACGATTTTTGAGAGTAGACTCAAGTCGTTGAGTCATTGAGCTTCTAGGAGAAATTAGCCAAGATAAAAACAAAATAATAAATACTAATGAAAACCTAGTTGATAATAAAAAAAAACATAAAACGCGGTTATTTTTTCCTAATGATCAGCTGAATATTGTAGTGGAGAAATTGTTCCAAATTGTAAAATATCCTCTTGGGTAAATGAGGATTATCATCGGCGAGGCCGTTAGAGGGAGAGAGGCCAAGACGACATTTCAATATTTAAATAACTATTCGAGTGCTTGAGAGATATCATTTGAGTTCGTTTTGCGAGGTTTTGGCACATGAATTGAGTGTTAATAACATGCCCCCTGATTGTTCAGGACGTCTATGATCCTTGAGTAGCTCCGATCACAAATTTTCAATTGAAAAACATATCCTTGTCAAATGGCTAATCGGGTGCAAGAACCATTTCACTCTGAATGATTACGAGTTGGCAAGGAAATTTATCTGTGAAATAAAAAATTCAAATAAAAAAATTGAATATCAAAATGTGAAAAATATGAGTCAAAAAATAGTATTCGAAAAATCAGACAAAAATGAACAATAAATATGGGATTCAAAAAAATTAAGAAACACTAATTTGTGAAGAAAACAAATTGTAATCTGAAATGAAGAAAAAAAAATGAATGGATCGAATAATAGGCCTAGGTCAATAGTATGAGTTTGATTTGAAATATTCAATGTTAAGTTTTTTCACATTTTAATTTTTTTGTATTATTTCAATATTTCCTTTTTCTACTACCTCGAAATTTTTCGGTCCTGGTATTTTTAATAATTTCAACTTCTCAGCCACACATTTTTTATTTCAAGTTCCCATAAATCACTTTGTGAGCGACGGCGCAGCTTAGGGGATTCCCAAGTTGATCTGTGATTCCAGTGTAATAGTTTTATGGCACCTACTACTTATTTTACAAATTAAATGCTTGTGTAGTGATTATTAAATTGGAAAAAAAGAGATGTCAGACGTGATTTAGTATGGAATATTANGACTTGTAATACTTTGTATCAAATAAATCTGGTTTAAACCAAATAAACCTAGTTTAAACAAAAAAACCTGTTTTTTTGTTTTTTTTAAACTTGGTTTTTGCTATCCCTGTGACCATGTGACTTAAGCGAGTATTTGTTTGAAATATTCTATTTATGGAGAAATATAAAGACCGTTGCGGGCCCGCCGTGGGCCACAATTGCATGCGACTATTACACAACACATGTATCTCTGTTAAATGTGTACATCGGGTGGTGTGGTGTCGAGGACCGGTCAAGCCTTACCCAGTGCTCTGTGTAGAATTAATACCCTAAATTCCTAGATAGAAACACTTTTCACCTTTTCAGTGGCGGTTATCATTGTTCTTGACGTCTCACTCGATGACGCTGTAGAGTGATCTCTATGTTGGGTACGACTAACCAAAGTTTGCCTCTTGTCGTGCGATGCATAACCCCATACCTACTGCATACCCCAGCAATGGCAATCATCACCGGAAAGATGAAATGTGTTCATATCTTGGGTTTTCATTCTAGGTACACGTGTACTGGTAAGACTTAACCGACCCCACATCAACCGATGTACAAATTCAAGGAATATACAGGTGTTGTGGAATAGCCACATGCAATTGTGGCCCACAGCGGGTAGGAATGAGAATTCTTGCCTACTGTAGTCTTAAGAGCGTACTCATGATGAACATCCTGAGCATTCACTTATTGTGGTAAAGAGGATCGATAAAAATCTCCCAGTTCTAAGTTGAAAGACACATGCCGGCACACTGACGAGTCTAAACATAAGTTCAATCTGATTCTACATATATTCTTCTTTCTTTATTCTCATTACTTGAGACTCGTACAAACCACAGGCAATTATTCATTTTTTTAAGGTCATCTTACACAATTGCGTTTTTCATAATTGAATTTGAAATTTCATTTAAATCATTATTATTAAAAGAAAGCAAATCAGAATCCGACTTCTGAGTATTATTCCAATTAATCTTAATATCGAATACTTCAAATCATGACAAATCAGCTATCTTCATTTTCTTGTTCTTATTCTATTGTACTCAACTCAAAATGCCCGTTTTGATTCAATTTTAATTTTTTAAGAATTCGTTGAAATATATATTCACATAAAAAAACTACTACTGAAGACATTAGATAATTCTCTTATCCCATATTCCATATCTATTATTATGTAATTTGACTCTAGTTCAGATCATGAGTTCATTTTCACAATACTCAATGACTATTTTTGAAAACCACGAACGTTAATATAGTTTTTTGTATTCTACATCGGTCACAAAAATTATTTACACGCTTTATATTAGCTTCACCTGTATGTATGTATGTTTTTTTGTAACTCTCCTTTTTTCATTTCATATCGGGATCTGTATTTGACAGAATTATCGATATTATTGCTTGATCTTTTGATTTGAAATATTCAAT